TTAGCTGCGTGACAGTCTGCTGATCACTATTCTTGAGCTTTTAGTGATGTCGAATCGATTTGCTTGGCTGGTTTTGTTTTGGCAGAAGCAAGGAGCATTTAACGTACAATTAGAACTGGTCATTGCTTTTATCATGTGGTTGTTTATGTGTACGGATGTCGGTGAATGTGCGTCTGTTTGTTTGTGTTCCGGTGTCTGTGTGTTTTAGTTTGTTTGCGTTCACTTTTTTGTTTGAGTGTATATGTGTTGGCGTTTGTAGGCGCGCGCGCGTGTGTGTGTGTGTGTGTGTGTGTGTGTGTGCGCGCGTGTGTGTACGTGTGTGTGTGTGTTTGTGTGTATGTGTGTGTGTACGTGTGTGTGTGTGTGTGTGTGTGTGTGTGTGTGTGTGAGAGAGAGAGAGAGTATGAGCTCTTTGCACGCATGCATACGTTGCGCAGTTGCAAGTTTGATTTGTGCTTCTCTTTTAACCACTCATGGGTATTTAATGCCTTAACATCTGTGCCACAAAACTGAGTTCCTTCGCAATACTGTATTCTACAAAGCAAGATTTTATCCTGAATAGTACACAGAGTACAGGACCTTTATACATCATAACAAAGAATATTATATGCCCATCTCCTTATCAGAACCAATATTCAATAATAAGACAAAAAAAATGCATCATCTATAATAATGTTCAGAATAACGAGCCAAATGCCTTTTCCTCTTCGCAGCAGAGTACGTGGAATTTTTGTTCTGTCCTTGAGGGGAAGGAAAGTGTGTTATGTTTGCGACCATGTGAAAGACTCCCCCGAAATTAGAACGAGGAGAAAATCCCTGCTTTTTTCTTCTTACTCCTCGAGTTTCGTGGTTATCAAAGGCGTACAGGGATAATCTTAGTAAGATGTAAATTCTTTTGATGAAGATATACGTTAATTTGCGTCGGCTTGTAAAATTATGTTCTAGCTGAGAATATAAACGCATAAATATATATAAAAAAGCTGGACTGGGCGAGTCTATGCCAAGTCCCGAGCACCCGCGCCCTCTGCCGCAACGCCTTTCTAATTTCGAGTTAATATTTCTAACAATACGACAAATACATGCAAAACCATGTACTTTCCCTAAAATCTAGCCTATGGTGCGTTTATGAAATTGACCTTCTCGGCTCTAAATTAGATTATTTCCCCCATTTAAACATGAAATAGAGATAATTATACTTAATTGATGTTTAAAGTATCGTGAGAATAACTGCCCCTCCGCCCCCCCTTCGTCCCTTCTGACCCGTCGCTCGCTCTCGGGTCTCGGGATCCAGTCGCGGTTCGTTCCTCGTCCGGGGCGTGTCTGGTTCTCGCTGCTGTGTCGTGGTTCGGTGTGGTTCGTTGCTGGGTTATTGTCGTTTATCGTAACTCTACAAAGACCTTCTGCTGAAAGGGAATTACGGTAAATAATTAATTTTGTACGGGAATTGCGGTAAATGATTAATTAAGTAGTTTACTATATTAACAGTAATGATTGATTATAATTATTTTATTAGCAGTGAAAAGAGCGATGATTATCGTAGTAGTAGCAGCAGCGATAGGAATTCAGAAATGTTTCATATATATAAATTTCTCTTTACCCGCTCAGCCAAAGGTGGAAAGAAGCAGTACCAGTGAAGATTGGCGCGGTGTGTGTCACGCATGGTAACACTCGCGAAAACCGTGGCTCTCACCCTTCCTCAAGCCGGCCTTTCCGCTTCCCTTGAGTCCACCAAGCCTTCGACGCTCCCCTGAACACCGGCAAGATGCCCGGGAACTTCGTCTTCACGCAGGACAACCCCGAAAACCTCAACTGTGCAGGGGAGCCCGATATCCTGGAACCTCACATGGTGGGTTTTACGAGAATTTTGCATAATTAACACTTAATTTTTTTATAATATTTGTAAACAGGAAAAAAAAGGAAAAGGAAAATACAAAGACGTTTTACTGATGGAAAGAAAAATATAAAGTCTGCGGTAAAGGCACAATATTTCATTTCACTTGTCACTAGATATCATGGGATCTTAACCTGGGATCCAGCGGGTCAGTGAGCATCACATAAAATTGGATTTTAGATTTACTTTAAAATTTAGTAATACTTTGTGTATCTCGTATATGTATGGAACAATCAAATTTCAATTCATAAAGTACATTACACACATTGCATGAAATTAATATTCCAGGGGAAGGGGGTCCACAGCTTTCATCAAATTCTTAAAGGGGTCCGTAAAGAACCCCTGCACCAGATGGTATCATTATCGACAGATTTATTACAATGTAACATGTAATTCTTAATTCTTGACAAGTTTCCTCCATGGATACGTTACTGATTACTAATTTCTAGAAACTGATTTCCGCAAAGCAGTTTGAGCGAAGGCAGTAAATTTTGCTTCGCAATTTTGCTGTTCTGTTATTTTTAAGCTGCTTCCAGAGTGAAAAGCAAAAGGCTTTGTTAAGTTATATCAAAAACATTCACGTAGATTATATTTTGCATACAAGAAAACAATATGATCCTTTACAGTCACGAGTCGCCATGGGAAAATGATCGCATTCTTGAAATGATACTACCTCTCCTACGTTGGAAACGAGGAGTCAGTGAAAAAAAAGTCAGTCTCAGAGACCAAGGTCGTTGCATTCCTTGGCTGCAACACAACCAGGATGTGCATTAGTTTTTCTTCGAGAAAAAGACTGATGTGGCATGTGCATTATCCCACTCCATTCATAGATGTTTTACTACTCCTTTTTTCACCCATGATAGGGCATGTGATTTAAAGAAGGGAAATATATTCGCATAATAAGATATAGCACACACGAGCAAGTTCCGCCGTTCTTTATCCCCAGCCACATCGGCCAAGAAAGAAAGTACATATTATTTTCTTGGTTGAAATAACTTCCTGGGCTCGCTCGCATGCAGACGCTTATAGCCGGTGGAGTCTAAACTACCAGTGAAGGTCATGTCTCGTTCAGATTCGATTAAAGACGTTTGCTTACAACTGGCAGAGGGGGACTTGCACTAGTTTTTGTTTCATTGGCAAAGGCGTGGCAGTTCGCTAGTACACGGATAGTGGCTGATAAGGTAATGAAGGAGTAGAGATCTGCAATTTTCATTTAATTTATTAGCTTAATCACACATTTTCTTGGTTGCTATTAGTCGCCACATTTCGTATTCATTGGACTTGCTCCATTTTTAAACAGATTCTAAGCATTTGTCTTGGTTTGCTTGCTTGCGTAAATAAGTATAACACGCAGATGAAACCATATGCTGTAAATATTGAGCATTTACATAATGACCATACACAGTGACAAGAATGGGAATCTTGTTATGTTAATAGCAAAAAATATAATAATAATAAGTACTCTAAAAGTTTGGATTACAGACGCTAGTAAGACCTTCAGATTGAGCATTACGTTAAGTACATCAGGGTTACATTCGTATCTAAGGTTAACCCTGTTGCCTCCTAAATCTGATGTACAAAAAAATAGTAAGCTATTTATATGACTCCTCCTCCACAACCCCTCCCAATACTTATCTAAAATACGTAAGATATTTATAAATGATTATAATATTGACAGCACGCTCAATAGTCACAACAAATAAGACATTACCAATGTTTACACCGGCAGATGTATGACGTCAGACAGGAAGATGACGCCGCTTCGAGATGTTTACTTCGCGTCAAAAAAAGATCCGAGTTACAAACGGGGGGAAACGAGCCCATTTATATTTCCTCTGGCACTCGCGCTCATATTCTTTTTATGGTGCATTCCACACACATGCTTGTTACAAAGGGAAACATTGCTCTTTACTTCCGTTTGACGTTGGATGTTTGTGTGTAGGGAATTAGTTTATTTTTTTCTTTTATGTTCTTTCGTGTGATACTGAGATCGACTTTTGTATAGATATGAAATCACTTTTTCGATATATCATTCACTCCAAGTCCTTTATACTTTTCTCTCTCCCTACCTTTCTCCTCGATTTTGTCTTTCTACCCAGTCAACTTCCTTCTTCCAATCTTTAACTTTCTATTTATATTCCCTCTTTTATCCTCTTGTCTTTATCCTCGCCCAGCTGAAGCAACATCCGGGTATGTGCTATATCCACCCCGAACCTTTTACGCTGGGATAAACATGACGAAATTGTGCCTCCGGTGAACCAGTTCTCGGCATTCGTCTCTCATCTCTTTTGGTCTCTCTTTTATCTTTTTTTTTTCATTTTTTGTGTCTTTATCTCTTTATTTTTTCTGTTTATCTGTCTATCTCTCTATCTATCTATCTATCTATCTATCTATCTATCTATCTATCTATCTATCTATCTATCTATCTATCTATCTATCTATCTATCTATCTATCTATCTATCTATCTATCTATCTATCTATCTATCTATCTATCTATCTATCTATCTATCTATCTATCTATCTATCTATCTATCTATCTATCTATCTATCTATCTATCTATCTATCTATCTATCTATCTATCTATCTATCTATCTATCTATCTATCTATCTATCTATCTATCTATCTATCTATCTATCTATCTATCTATCTATCTATCTATCTATCTATCTATCTATCTATCTATCTATCTATCTATCTATCTATCTATCTATCTATCTATCTATCTATCTATCTATCTATCTATCTATCTATCTATCTATCTATCTATCTATCTATCTATCTATCTATCTATCTATCTATCTATCTATCTATCTATCTATCTATCTATCTATCTATCTATCTATCTATCTATCTATCTATCTATCTATCTATCTATCTATCTATCTATCTATCTATCTATCTATCTATCTATCTATCTATCTATCTATCTATCTATCTATCTATCTATCTATCTATCTATCTATCTATCTATCTATCTATCTATCTATCTATCTATCTATCTATCTATCTATCTATCTATCTATCTATCTATCTATCTATCTATCTATCTATCTATCTATCTATCTATCTATCTATCTATCTATCTATCTATCTATCTATCTATCTATCTATCTATCTATCTATCTATCTATCTATCTATCTATCTATCTATCTATCTATCTATCTATCTATCTATCTATCTATCTATCTATCTATCTATCTATCTATCTATCTATCTATCTATCTATCTATCTATCTATCTATCTATCTATCTATCTATCTATCTATCTATCTATCTATCTATCTATCTATCTATCTATCTATCTATCTATCTATCTATCTATCTATCTATCTATCTATCTATCTATCTATCTATCTATCTATCTATCTATCTATCTATCTATCTATCTATCTATCTATCTATCTATCTATCTATCTATCTATCTATCTATCTATCTATCTATCTATCTATCTATCTATCTATCTATCTATCTATCTATCTATCTATCTATCTATCTATCTATCTATCTATCTATCTATCTATCTATCTATCTATCTATCTATCTATCTATCTATCTATCTATCTATCTATCTATCTATCTATCTATCTATCTATCTATCTATCTATCTATCTATCTATCTATCTATCTATCTATCTATCTATCTATCTATCTATCTATCTATCTATCTATCTATCTATCTATCTATCTATCTATCTATCTATCTATCTATCTATCTATCTATCTATCTATCTATCTATCTATCTATCTATCTATCTATCTATCTATCTATCTATCTATCTATCTATCTATCTATCTATCTATCTATCTATCTATCTATCTATCTATCTATCTATCTATCTATCTATCTATCTATCTATCTATCTATCTATCTATCTATCTATCTATCTATCTATCTATCTATCTATCTATCTATCTATCTATCTATCTATCTATCTATCTATCTATCTATCTATCTATCTATCTATCTATCTATCTATCTATCTATCTATCTATCTATCTATCTATCTATCTATCTATCTATCTATCTATCTATCTATCTATCTATCTATCTATCTATCTATCTATCTATCTATCTATCTATCTATCTATCTATCTATCTATCTATCTATCTATCTATCTTAAAAAAATAGTAAGCTATTTATATGACTCCTCCTCCACAACCCCTCCCAATACTTATCTAAAATACGTAAGATATTTATAAATGATTATTATATTGACAGCACGCTCAATAGTCACAACAAAAAAGACATTACCAATGTTTACACCGGCAGATGTATGACGTCAGACAGGAAGATGACGCCGCTTCGAGATGTTTACTTCGCGCCAAAAAAAGATCCGAGTTACAAACGGGGGGGGAAACGAGCCCATTTATATTTCCTCTGGCACTCGCGCTCATATTTTTTTTTTTTTATGCTGCATTCCACACACATGCTTGTTACAAAGGGAAACATTGCTCTTTACTTCCGTTTGACGTTGGATGTTTGTGTGTAGGGAATTAGTTTATTTTTTTTCTTTTATGTTCTTTCGTGTTATACTGAGGTCGACTTTTTATAGATATGAAATCACTTTTTCGATATATCATTCACTCCAAGTCCTTTATACTTTTCTCTCTCCCTACCTTTCTCCTCGATTTTGTCTTTCTACCCAGTCAACTTCCTTCTTCCAATCTTTAACTTTCTATTTATATTCCCTCTTTTATCCTCTTGTCTTTATCCTCGCCCAGCTGAAGCAACATCCGGGTATGTGCTATATCCACCCCGAACCTTTTACGCTGGGATAAACATGACGAAATTGTGCCTCCGGTGAACCAGTTCTCGGCATTCGTCTCTCATCTCTTTTGCTCTCTCTTTTATTTCTTTTTTCATTTTCTGTATCTTTATCTCTCTTTGTTTTTTTTCTGTTTATCTGTCTATCTCTCTCTCTCTCTCTCTCTCTCTCCATCTATCTGTTTATCTATCTACCTGTCTATCTATATCTATATCTCAATATCCATCTATATATCTATTTATTTATATATATTTCGATCTCTACATCTCTCTTGCTACCAACAAATAAACAGAAAAGGGATCAATCGGCAAAATAACAACCAATTCAAAGAAAAAGGATTCTCTTTCCAAATTCCTTTCATAAATCAGACAACAGAATAAATAGACAGTATTTTCTATCTATCTATATCTATCTGTCTATCTATCTGTATATGCATATATATGTATATATATTTGCGAATTACTGTGCAGGAAATGTTTATGTGTTTGTTTTTATTTGAAACGTTTCTGCTTTCTCAGTATTGCCAAGACGTGAGCTCGTATTTTTAGTATTTACTACAGAGACAAAGGCTTGCTACAGTGTTGTTCTGGTGACATTCACGCTGTACAAGATCACTTTTTCTTTTCTTTTTTTTCTTTTTGAAAAGTTGGCTTTTCTATGATCCATTTTCCGAATTAAAGTAGGTATTGATAAAGTGTGGATTATTTAATGTCGTTCTTTGTTACGTCGTGTTATACTGAATAAGCCCTTTTGTGTATTTTAGCAGTGATTATTATTATTGTCATTGTTTTATCATTATCAGTAGTATTAGTATTAATATTGTTACTATTACTAGTAGTAGTAGTGGTAGTAGTAGTAGTAGTAGTAGTAGTAGTAGTACTATTATTATGAAATTAGAACAATGTTTTATATATTAATAATTCATTTTACGATGCCAAGCTCATCCGCTGTAATAGTATAAAAATGCGTGAATGTTTGGTAGATGCCGAGACACTGTGAGGTGTTACTGAGGGCGCCAAAATATAAATAACTTATACAGTACATCTTCGCGATCTACGAGTTGTTATACTTCGTAAACATTCAGCTATAAAAAGATGTGAATAGATGAGTGAGAAGAAAGGGAGGTGGAGGAGAGAGAGAGAGAGAGACAGAAACAGAAACAGCGACGAGAGAGGGAGAGATAAACAGACAGATAGACAGCCAGCCAGACTTATTATGATTATTATTGTTATTATTATTATTATTACCATTCTTCTTATTGTTGTTGTTATTATTGTTATATTTTATTATTATGATTATTATCACTATTAATCATAAAAAATATTACTATTACTACTACTACTACTACTGTTGTTACTACTATTTCTTCTTCTACTACTACTACTACTATTACTATTACTACTTCTACTACTGTTACTGCTGCTGCTACTACTACTACTATTACTACTACTATTACTACTACTACTATTACTACTACTACTATTACAACTACTACTACTACTACCACTACTACTACTACTACTACTACTACTGCTACTACTCATACTACTAGTACTACTACTACTACTACTATTCCTACTACTACTACTTCTACTACTACTTCTACTACTACTTCTACTACTCTTACAACTACTACTTCTACTACTACTACTACTACTACTACTACTACTCCTACTACTGTTACTACCACTACTACTACTATTACTACTCCTACTACTAATATTCCTACTCCTACTACTATTCCTACTCCTACCACTACTACTTCTACCCATACTCCTACCACTACTACAACTACTACAGCTATTTTCATTCTGTCCTTTCCAGCGCGACACAATTAAGGAGAATGACATCCTCATTTGGATCTATAACATGATCGACGAGGCAGCCAGAGTGGACTTCGAGTTCTTCCTGAAGGACGGATGCATTCTGTGCAAGTAAGTCTCGGCTGGATTTTTTTTTTTTCTATTTTCTTTAATTCTAATGTTTGTTGTTGATTTGCATAACTTTTGGTACTGAATCATTAAGTCTTGGCTGACTATATATATATGTGTGTGTGTGTGTGTGTGTGTGTGTGTGTGTGTGTGTGTGTGTGTTATTACTCTAATCATTGTTGTTATAATCATAGTTATTATTATTACTTTTACTATTATTTTTGTAATTGTTGTTGTCATTATATCATCGTTATCATTATAATGTTATTATCATTGTTATTAATATTGTTGTTCTTATTGTTATCATTATTCTTATATTTAGTGCTTTCGCTGTGTTGTTATTTTTACTTTTCTTATTGTTATTGTGAATATTAAAGAATTAGTGGAAGTTGCAGTTGTAAAATTGATTACGATTATTGCACTGTTAACTTTAATTGATACTATTGAGTAACGTATAAAACGATTACGCAATGTTTCCATATCTAATGTTCTTAACACACACAAAGATATGAGGCATGTCAACTGTCCAGAGCCGTTATTAAATGATAATGCTTTTTCTTATGTTTTTTTCTTTTATGTTTTTTTTTCTCCCAATCGCTTCTTTTCTTTCTTTTTCTTTCTGCCTACTCGTTTCTTTTCCCCTATTTACTTATCTGTCGCGTTTTATTTTCACGATCTATGTGTTCTTTCTTTTTCTTTTCTCTCTCTCTTATTCTTTTTCATTTCTTTTTTTCTGTAAATATTCGCAGTTTTGGCAACGTGGCAACCGTTTTTTCGAAGCCGCCAACCCAACCCGGATATATAAATAGCGCGGAAGCACAGCTGTTGCACATGGCCGCCGAATAGCGAGCTGCATGCGAAAAATTTGTGCAATGACTTTTGCAAGCTGAATTCTTGCATGATTGTGCCAAGGGACAGGCTTATTACCGTATAAGGTGTTTCGGCTGATTATTTTTTGCACTTGTTTAACAATTTCAACGGAACGATCTGTAACGCGATATTGTATAAGACAAAAAACTCGTGTGTATCAATATTTACAATTCAGCGTCAACGTAGCGCTCGAGCGTAATCTTTACAGCGCACAAAATTATTCCGTATTTTCTAATGCAAAGCTGAAAAGGGAGAGAGGCTCAGAGACAGAAAAGGGTGAGGGAAGAGGGAGAGAAGGAGACAGAAAAACGAAAAAGGTAGAGGACTTTAAAGAGGATTATGAGGAAGTAGGAGCTGGCAGATGTAGGACTGAAAGTGGGAGGGAAGGAGTGAATTTAAGGAAAATTTGGGAGTGAGATGGTATGGCAGAGCGGGGAAGGGAAAAGTAGAGAGAGTGAGAGGGGAAGCGAAAGGTAGAAGGGTGTTGTTATAGTTGTCATTATTATCATTATCGTTGTTATTATCATTTAATGTTTTTTTTCTTCTGAGTTTATTTATTATTATTATTATTATTATTATTATTATTATTGATTATCATTATAATCATCATCACCATCATCATCATCATCATTTTCATTGTCATAGTTATTGCTATTATTATTATTATTATTATCATTATCATTACTGTTAGTAACATTATTTTTATTATCATTGTTATTATTGTTATTAATATTATTATCATTATTATTATTATTACTGTTGGTATCATTATTATTATTATTACTGTTGGTATCATTATTATTATTATTACTGTTGGTATCATTATTATTATTATTACTGTTGGTATCATTATTATTATCATTACTATTATTGTTATTATCATTATCCTTATTATTGTTATTATTATTGGTATTATTATTGGTATCATTATTATTATTATTATTGTTACTGTTGTTGTTGTCAGTTTTATTACTTTATAATTGTAATTATTGGTTTCCTCTTCATCATAATCATTATTATTGTTTTGTATGCTATCATATTTATTATTATCACTGTTATTGTTCTTATCACTTTTATCGTTATTACAATCATTATTATTATCATAATTATCATTATTATTATTATTATTATTATTATCATTATTATTATTATTATCATTATTATTATTATTGTTATTATTATTATTACTGTTGGTATCATTATTATTATTATTACTGTTGGTATCATTATTATTATTGTTATTATTACTGTTGGTATGATTATGTTTATCATTATCATTATTATTATTATTATTATCATTATTATTATCATTGTTATTAGCATTATTATTATTATCAACACTATTATTGTTATTATTATTATTATCATTATTATTATTATTGTTATTATTATTATTACTGTTGGTATCATTATTATTATTATTGTTATTATTATTATTATCATTATTATTATTATTACTGTTGGTATCATTATTATTATTATTACTGTTGGTATCATTATTATTATTATTACTGTTGGTATCATTATTATTATTATTATTACTGTTGGTATCATTATTATTATTATTACTGTTGGTATCATTATTATTATTATTATCATTACTATTATTGTTATTATTATTATTACTGTTGGTATCATTATTATTATTATTACTGTTGGTATCATTATTATTATTATTATCATTACTATTATTGTTATTATTATTATTACTGTTGGTATCATTATTATTATTATTGTTATTATTATTATTACTGTTGGTATCATTATTATTATTATTACTGTTGGTATCATTATTATTATTATTACTGTTGGTATCATTATTATTATTATTACTGTTGGTATCATTATTATTATTATTATTATCATTATTATTATTATTATTGTTATTATTATTATTATTATTATTACTGTTGGTATCATTATTATTATTATTGTTATTATTATTATTACTGTTGGTATCATTATTATTATTATTATCATTATTATTATTATTATCATTATTATTATTATTATTATTATTATTGTTATTATTATTATTACTGTTGGTATCATTATTATTATTATTATTATTATTATTATCATTACTATTATTGTTATTATTATTATTATTACTGTTGGTATCATTATTATTATTATTATTATTATTACTGTTGGTATCATTATTATTATTATTACTGTTGGTATCATTATTATTATTATTACTGTTGGTATCATTATTATTATTATTACTGTTGGTATCATTATTATTATTATTACTGTTGGTATCATTATTATTATTATTGTTATTATTATTATTACTGTTGGTATCATTATTATTATTATTATTATTACTGTTGGTATCATTATTATTATTATTATTATCATTATTATTATTATTACTGTTGGTATCATTATTATTATTATTATCATTACTATTATTGTTATTATTATTATTACTGTTGGTCATCCTTCCTAATATCCTATGTACACATTAGATACATATATATACATGTATGCGTGTTTATGTGTGTATATATATACATATATGTATGTATGTATACATGTTTAACCTGTATATCCCCACAGGTTAATGAACCGGATAAAGCCAGGCAGCATTCCCGAGGACAGCATCACGTGGGAGGGCGCTCGGAGCAAACAGCAGAACATCAAAAACTTCCTCGAAAAAGCGGAGGCTTACGGCGTGCCTAAGGAGAAGCTCTTCCATCCCGAGGACCTGCTTCACTTGCGCAATGTTCCTCGAGTGACGAGGTGTATCTACGCCCTAGCTAAATTGGTGAGAGAATTTGGGCGGAGTGAGAGCCTGGGGTAAAGGCGTGGGGGGGGGGGGGCGTGATTTGTTGTGACGCGTGGTTTTCTTTCGTCCTTCCATTTTTTTCAGATTTATTTTTCTATGATCTTTTTTTTTATCTGCGTGCGTGTTTGTGTCATATTTTAAGAAAGTGAGATGTTATGATGGGCAAAATAATAAACAGTAGAAGTTTAAACAAAGGAATTTTAGATTTTGATAAAGGTTCATGGGCATCGAATGAAGTATACGTTTATTAATGATCTGGACTCCTTTTGTTCAAGTATTACGTGTTTTTTTTTAAATTTCTTATGTGAAATCCATAGATCTCTGTTGTTAGCCTGTTCTCTCTCTCTCTCTCTCTCTCTCTCTCTCTCTCTCTCTCTCTCTCTCTCTCTCTCTCTCTCTCTCTCTCTCTTTTCGGCTCCATCGTTTCTTATTCGTTTTTTACAAACTGTAATCTTCTTCACTATAACCATCCTGTGTCTCACCACCAGTAATAATTATGCATATTTTTACACTATTGTCAATAATCTTATTATTGTCATTTTATGTATATATGGTTATGGCATATATATTTTCTTAATTTTCAGCGCCATTCCTTTCCCTGTGTCAGCTTATAAAAGTAATTGAAGTCACAAATAGTTTGCTATCACATACCATGATCATTCTTGTACACCTTTACTTTTTTAGTCAGTAGTAACAATAGTAGTTGAACTAGTAATATCAATTGTAGTAGTAGTAGAAGCAACACTATTAGTAGTAGTAGCAGTTGTATTAGCGTTAGTAGAGTAGTTGTAGTAATAATGGTAATAGTAGTAATAGCATCGGTAGTGATATTTCTTAGACGATCATTTATTATAGCTGTTATTGTAGTCAGTGTTAATAGCTTTTTATCATTGTTGTTATCATTATAACAACAATGTGTTGTCACCATTATAATCATTATTAATGTTTGTTGTAACAGCATTTATTATGATCATCATCATCATTATTGTTATAATTATTATCAGTATTAATAAATCACTCCTTGCAGAAACACAAAAATATTTTATCCTCTCACGTACAGTTTCCCTTTTCTGAATCCTCCAGGTGTCACAGGACCCCAACATGGGCTCTGACTGCCCCAAGCTGGGAGACGAGCCGAGCTTCATGAAGGAGCAGAAGAAGAAGATCGACGTGCCCGGACACAGAGACACGAAGGACGTCTTGGCGCAGCTCACCTCCGAGAAACCGAAGGAGGAGAAGAAGACGACCAAGCACTCGCTGTATAAGTGAGGGGGAGGGAGACACAGGGCGAGGGAGGTGGAGGATGGAAGAGGAAGCGAAGAGGGGAAGCGAGAGAGAGAGGTAATGGGAGGAAAGGAAGGAAGGGAAGAGAGGGGAGGGATATGAGGAAAAGAAGGGGAGAACCAGGAGAGGGAAAATGAGGTTAGAGTTAGCGAAAGCGACAAGGAACGAAGGAAGAGAGAGAAAACACAGTAGGCAGATCGACACACAACAATGACAAATTAAAGAGTGTGTAAGAAAGGAAATTAAAAATCGGTTTATAAATAGGACGATGACTACAAGAAATTGTGAGATGAATGATTCCCATTCTTATGTTTATTACTGTAAGACTAAATAGAACATTTCAGATTGTAAAAGTAAAAAGAAAAAAAATTGTCAAGGTTAAATTTTAAACAGTCATTTTTAACTTCATATTATGGTTGGACTGGTTGAAATTCTACATGCACTGCCTGCTATGAAGGATTTACAGCTTCTTATATAAGTGAAAATTGTTGATGTGAATGCCATTTAGTTATGTATTGTGCACTTCATGCTTGTATGTTGATTGTAGATGTATAATATTTCATCAATGTTTCTTTTGTTCTTCACTAAACCACTAGCCTTTTAACACACGTGCTGCATTTACCATTTAGGCTCATAGTCATAGACGACTTAATTCTGTTTTTATAGTAGTTAAATGGTGTTCCTACTTTCTTGTACTCAGCTGTTTTATATGTATGTTGTTCTTGCATTAACTCAGAGTGTTGAGATCCCTGTTATGTTTTATTATCATTGTTATTATTATTATCATTAACATTATTATTATTGTTATTATTATTTTATGCTTATTACTCATACGCTTACCAAATACTTCACTCCATTATCATTAGTGATTCATTGTCGCTTCTGTCGTCGCTCATTTCATCTTTGTAAATAATGATAGATGTTTACATAAAGAGTGATTCAGTAATGTAAATTGAAGGTTGAAGTTATTTTTTCCATTGTTTCTTTTTCCCTCCGTGAACTGTCTAGAACGTATCCAACTTGTGGCAAACGAGGGAAACTTAAGCTATTTTTAGTAAAAAGAAGGTAATAAGGCTTTGAGAATATTCGTTTTGAGAAATCCAAATCAATCTTGGAAAAATTAACTCTACTTTTTTATCTAGATTTTGTGTCGGTTTCTCTAGTCTCTTATTGATAATGTATACAGTGTGGTACTTTTTATCAGAAATATCTCATGTGAAGAACCATATGCAGAGCAACCGTCTATACTAACGTCTCATGTCTGTAAACAAATGTATATAAAATCAAATAAACTATTTATGTGAAATTATGGTTTAGTTTGTCCTCATTACGTGCATGCACAGTATGCACACTCACTCCGGTATGTGAAGGTTAATGTCTTTCTGGCCGGAAGAATGAATATTTTGATTAAAAAAAGTCGGAAAGCAAAATACTGCACTGTCGGGATTTCGCTTCGGGACTATTCTTCCTTTGTATTTTCAGATTTCCCTTTCAAAAACAAGACTTTGTCTTAGTTAGGGAACACCCTCACCTAAATATGCTTGCGCGCGCGCACACACACACATGTACATATATATATATGTATATGTGTATATATATATATATATATGTATATATGTGTGTGTATATATATATATATATATATATACTTATATATCTATCTATATACACATAAAAGTATACACACACGCGCGCGTGTGTGTATATATATATATATATATATATATATATATATATATATATATATATATATATATATATATGTATGTATGTATGTTTACATGCATAGATATATATGTATATATATGTGTGTGTGTGTGTGTGTGTGTGGCTGTGTGTGTGTGTGGACATGTGTGTGTAAGGACAGTTGAGTACATTCTCTTTCTCATTTTGAGTGTGTGTATTTATATATATACAAATATGTGTGTATGCGTTATTACTATTAATATTACTGTGACTATTATTATTGATAACAATAATGATTATCAATATCCTCATTATCATTACTATTACTGTCATTAGAACTGTAGTAATAAAGATTTTTTTTCTTAGAACCATCATATGTCTTCTTACGAAGTCAGCGTAATTAATGAATCTGCACAATAAAATCATTATCATCACTGCCATTGTTATTGTCATTGCTATTATCGTGGTCACTGTTACCGAAACGATCGCTAGTTGATTTGCAAATGTTGTTACCTGGGTGTTTTCAACAGATAACCGTTCATAAAGTGTTCGAATAGTGTTTCGGAATTGATATGACTACGGCCTCGTATCATGCCAATATTAACAATGGAGACCTCATAGACCATTTTTATCGCCATAATTACGCTTTACTTTGAAGGACTATCAAGAGTTGAAATATCAAGATAAGCATTTCGAAGCCAACCGTGCCTCTGTGGGTCCAGCGACACCAAGCAACTGGATCCACTTGAGTCAAGGCCAGAATTGGGCGGTCTGGATGCACGACGGTGGAAGATAATCACGTTGATGTCATTCAAAACTATAAATCAAAGTGCCACATGAAAGACAAATTAGGAAGCTTGCATTTTATTGCATGATTATCATGAGCTAATAAAAACCATGATACTGAGTGGCAACATCCTTTACATCTAACAGGATTTGAGAATATAGTTAAATGACACGTCCCCTAACGGTGAGTCATTTTCTTCTTTGTTTATTTACTTTAATTTTATTATTACCATTATTATTATTATTATTTATAACAATCACAAATACTACAAGGGATACGAACCCCTTCTGTTCTGCCGGCAACAGTATGCAGACTGTCAGAAATCACTGGGCAGTTTGGGTGGATGCGCAACAGCAGTGTCGGGGAGTTGACGGATGTCGGGATCGGCAGATTTAAGGGGTTTGCTTTGACGAGATGTTTCTACCGTCAGTAAAAGACATGGTTTTCCCCGAATCGGAGCCATTTTACCTCATCCAGGATAATAGCCCTATCCACACGAGCTGTGTCGTGAAGGCGTGATTTCGGCAACACCCAAGATTGTGTTGTGCCACATCCAGCATTCGCCAAGCTGGTGACAGTAACCCGAAATATTAATTGATTAATATTAATTGTGCTATACGTTTCAAAACCTTAGTTAGTTTTAAATGTAGCCGAGCAAAGTGAACTAAAATTAAGATTTTTTTTTATTCTACAGGCATGTTAAGCTATAACCGCATGTATATTGGTGTAATTGGTAAAGAAGTAAACAATTTTGGCCCTTGGGGGAGAACATCTGCCCCCCCCCTTCCCCAAATAATGCCCTGTCAGGGATGCCAATATCAGGTCAAGCTCAGGTCACTTCTTCGTCGTCGTATCATATTGTTAAGTCAGAATGAGTAAAGACACTTTCTTCTTTAGCAATTGTACATGTAAGACCAATAAAGCACCGGGACACTGTGTGTGAGACGGCTAGTTCTGTTCAAGTGGTACGACACTTTGAATCAATGGATTTTCGTACTGCCGACAGCGTCGATGCTCCGCCCACACGACTTGAAATAATTGCAAGTATTAAAGCCAATATATAAGAAGACGTATAATTCAAAACACAATATGCTAAAAATATAATATGCATTTTTATTGTTAGCACTGTATAGTGATAGTGTATAGTGATTATTATTGTCGTTCATAAACCACATTTTTATTATCGCTTCACGTTGTCATTATTGTTCTATACAGAGAATTGTTGTATAATCAACACTTTATTTGGTGCCAGGATGATAACAGATAAGACTCATAACTCTCGTAACAGCTTATCTCAACTGCCCATAATATCTGATTTACCTTGGAAAGGAAACACAGCGCGACGGGAACGAGAAAGCAGAGGGAGGCAGAGTAAAAGACAAAAACAGGGAGAAAATGTTTTATTGTTTTAACTCGTGTTGTTTTGGTCGTGATCTGTGAATGTCGGCAGATTTCGAAGCTACATTATGAAGTATCAGAAAATAATGATTATGTAGTTGTTGCTTATATACTATGCGAACTACTGTTGTGTGAACACACATTAAAATAAAAGTTATTCTCAGCTATTAAGCTATATTGGTGTAATTAGTAAAGAAGTTAAAAAATGTAGCGGGGGGGGGGGGCAACTGCCCTCATCCCCCAAATAATGCCCCTGTCGGAGATGCCAACATCAGGTCAAGCTCATACCACTTTTTCCAACCGTTTTCGTCGTCGTATCATATTATTAAGTTAAAAAGAGTAAAGATACAATAAATTCTGAATGTTTAGAGAAAAAAATCGCTGCACACCGAAGAATGGGAGAGTTCGAAATGGAAATAAGCTACTCTGGCCAATCACGTACAATACAGAAAAAAATTCTTCCTGCAGCTGCTGTGATACTAGATCAGCGCTTCCTATGTTTTCTGGGGGTCATGGAGCAAAATGCAAATTATGACTGAATTTTATCTCACCTACAATATCTATGGATAATTATCTCTCACATATCAATAACTTAGAATCTTTCCTTATACTGCCCTTGTCCTGTATGATGGCACTATTCACAACTAACAGTAACTTAATCTGAAAAGATGACAGAAACAGAATTTGTAATTTTCAGGAAAAGAAGAACTAAGGTAATAAGTTACGAAGAAAACGTGAAGACAAAAATGTAAATAAATTATCTTTTCCGCACAATTATTGATGAATCTAATAGCCTAACCGACAGGGACTACCGTAAATATACAGCAGTTTAGAAAAGATAACTCATAATCTATATATCTTCTGAGCACAATTCTTTAGTTCGTATTTAAATTAGGTAAACCGCGTATTCACCGTGTACACGTTTTTCTTTCTTTCTTTCTTTCTCTTTTTATCACTTTTCTGTTATCTAGTCAATCGAAGGTCAGTGCCACAACATCAAAAATACCCCCATGATTATTTTTTCCATGTGTAATCAGTATATTGAAATCGATAACGGATTAAAGATACTAAAGCGACAATAAAAAACGGGAAATGCTGGTTTATGTCCATTAATAATGTTGCGTCTTTGAGGAGATAGGATGCATTTGAGAAACTTGAAAGTGTCTGAGATCCCCTTTTTAATAACTGTATTTGTGTTTGATGTGTGTGGTAATATTGTCATCATTATGATTAGTGTTGTTATTATCGTTATCATCATTATTACAGTAATAAAACGCATAAGTATTAACAACATCATAATAATAAACAATAGTGAATGAGGATAATAACAATAGTTATAATAATAATAGTAATAATTATTATTATCACTACTACTACTACTATTGTTATTATTATTATTATTATTATTATTATTATTATTATCCTCATCATCACTACTATTACTGTTATTATTATTATGATTATTATTACTATTATTACGATTATCATTCTTATTATTATCATCTTCATCATCAGTATCATTATCATCATTATCATTATCGTTATCGTTATCATCATCAGCATCATCATCATCATCATTATCATTATCATCATCATTATCATTATCATCATCGTCACCATTGTCATCATCATCACCTTCATTATCACCATTATCATTTTTGTTGTTACCCTCATCATCATTATTATCAAAAATTTAAAATTGCTATTTTGCTTGTAAGTACTGGTGTTTTTATTATAATTTTATTATATCACCATCATAATTTCAGAGGCATCGTAATCATAGTCGTCACACCAGGATCATCATTAACACCGTAACTATTATCATTGTCATTATATGATGATATATTATATATTATATGATGTCATTATCATCATTACCACTATTATTGTACATATTATTATTTATTATTATCAATGTTGTAAAGCATTATCATATTTTAAGAACTACTACTATTGGGTTCAGTATCATAATTATTATTATTACATACTTATGATTACTCTTACCATTATTAGCAATAGTGTTAGCATGGTATAGTGAGCATTATTATTGTCGTTCATAAACCTCATTTTCATTATCACTTCACGCTGTCATTATTTTTCTATACAGAGAATTGTTGTCGTATAATCAGCAATTTATCTGGTGCCAGGATGATAACAGATAAGACTTATAGCTCTCTCAACAGTTTATCTCACTTGCCCTTAATATCTGATTTACCTTGGAAGGCAAACACAGTGGGGCTAGGATGAGAAAGCAGAAGAAAGCAAAGTAAAAGAGAATAACAGAGAGAACATGTTTTATTGGTTTAAACTCGTGTTGTTTTTGGACGTATTCTATGAATGGCGGCAGGTTTCGAAGCTACATTATGAAGTATTCAATGAGTCATGATTATGTAGTAAAAAAAACTTTTATTGCCTATATACTATGCGAACTACTGTTGTGCGAACGAACATTTGTTTGCAAAGACAAATGTAAGCGATAAATATATGTTCTATGAATTCATGTATATCATCGCTAAAATTTCTTATTCCCTCTTTTTTGTAAAACATGGTAGCTTGGGTATAATTATAAATGAAATTAATAATTCATTACAGCAGTAGGTGTACAGTAGAGTGCGATAAAATAGAGTTCCAGAAAACGCGCATTAGTCTCGCCATGGTTTGTTGATCCCAAACAGCTGATCCCAAACAGCTGACTTCCCTCGCCTCCCCCACTCCCACTCTCCCAGGCGCAGTCGTGTGAAATCGCCACCCTCGCCTCACGTGACGTTTTATCAGCGGTGGGAGCTTCAGTTCTTCCACAGCTCGCCGCGAAATGGTAGAAATTACGTCTTCTCACGATGAAGATTCTCTGCACGGGGAGAGTCTGCCTCCTCCTCCGCCGGATATGGACGAGGATAATGACGTGATTGAGGAGCATGTTGGAGGAGTAGGGGGCGAGGTGAGTACAAGGGAAGGGGGAGGATTCTCGTACTAGTATTGCTTATTCTATGTTTATGGTGCTGTTTGTTTTTGTTCGAGTGAGAGAGTAGCCACGGGATTTATATTGAAAGATTTATAACAGTTGTGTATATAGTGGATGATCAGTGTTGTGATTGAAGCATCCTTAAGATTTAATGGTTATCAGTGACCCATTCTAAGCTCTATTCTGTTAGATAGAGCTAGAAATCATAACAATGGCTGTAGAAATTGACACATACTTATATATAATTTATTCTATAATCTACTAAAGGCAAAAGGGTAGTTTTTTAGTATTACATATCCATCCAACCATGCAGTTATTATTTTTGTTTCAATTATTCACATGTTATATGTGTGAACCTCTTGTTGTTTTCCAAACATGTAAGTGAAATTATTAGTAACTGTTTAAGTAGTGACTACACATCTCTGAGACTAAGTCCCTATTACTCCAGCCACTCCTAGGAATCCACACACGTTGCTATATGAACTAAAACTTCCAACCCCTATCCTATCATTGTATTTTCCTATTGGGGGCACTATTCCTGAACCACCAGCAAATCATCATGGATAGTCTACGCTTGACTCTTTGCCTGCACTGAACATTTCATGTATCAGTGAGTGTAGTTACTAGACCTTCCTTATCAACTTACAAAGGAAATACCATAGATGAAAAGTACTTTTTTTAGGAGTTTAGACCATTACGACAGAGTTTATGCTGTACTATATGGCTGTGTGAAAATGAAACAATACAGGCAAAAGTCAAGCGTTAATCAGGCTACACATTTGTTACTCCTTCCCCCCTCCCATGCTAGTTAGATGGAGTGAATGGGTGCTTATATAGAAAGTAATAGTTTACAATTTAAAGGCCATTAGATTTTTCTAATGATATTAAAATACTTAGGAAAATATGCATCTTGCTTGTTATTGTCATGGCTGATATATATTATAAGTTTATGAAAATAAAGTTGATGCAGACCATGATATAGCAGTCCTATTTTTTTATCATTGAGAGTGTAATTGTATCAAAGAAATTTGAGTATTTGAGAAGTATAGAATCTATTTTAGATTCATGTAATTCATTTAGGTAAGGAATTTTGCTGTAATGAAGTGATAAAAAAGTCAGTAATTGAAGTTTTAAAAGGGAGAAAAAAAATGCAAAACATATCCTGAAAATCTTATTTATAGCCATGTATTTGAAAGCTATTGAAAACACACATTTACAATGAAGAAAGTATATAGAAATTCTGCATTTAACAAGAACCTACTCACCCAAGAACACTTTCAGTGTGAAGATATGGAGTTGACTGGATGTGGAGCATCAGCATGTTGCAATCCCAGGAAAGGAGTTTACAGGTTCAGTGCCCTGTTCTTCATGTGCTTTTTGGGCTTTGGTAAGTTTTTGACTGTTTATGAAGTGAAGATGGTAGTGTCTTGCTTCAGTAGAATGTAGTTATAATGGAAGAAGTCAGTTTTTACAAGAATAGATTTTCTTTTGGTTTATATATATATTTTTTTTTCTTCTTTTTAACCTAAGAAGGTATAGTTATTATTTGTGAATAATATGATTAACTTGACAATTTACTTAAGTTTAAATGGATTATTTTCTTAAGAGTAAGAATTGAATTATCTGTGTGTAAAATAGATGTAGATACTTTTTAAGACTTTCTATGCACACCCTCTTAAGCCTAAGTACTGGTAGAGAGGTGAATGGATTAGATAATGTTACTAGATAACAGATTTTATTTTTGTGATGACATTTACTTATCTTATGAACCCTTGTACACCCAAATATATACACTCATGCATAAACACACACCCATGACCAGCACCAGATTTATAATGGGGACTAAAGGGCTCATGTCCTAGACCATTAATATCTGCAATAATCAAGTTTTAGGTGTCAATAAGAGATTATGCAGATGCCAAGTGTAGAAATAAAGATTATAAATATAATGTAATTGCTGTAAATTAGGGAAGGTTACTTAGCTTTATTAAATTTTATTGGATATTTTAAAACTTTATATTTTGTTAATTGCTAAGTTGGTAAACTGCTGAGTTGCTGTCCATGGAAACTAAGGCATAGATAGCAGCATAACAGTGTTATTTGTAATTCTTTTTCCTTAAAAATCTACTTGGAGTTTACAGACATATATTTACATGTATTCTTGTATTTTCTTCACATATACTAACACATATACCCAAAAACGTGTATGCCCATGAATAAACAAAGGCCTATCCTTGAACACATGTGCCCATATACCTACCAAGACAGGCACACATGAAGGCAGTCAAACATTAAAATATGCACATAAATGCATGTACATGTATGTCCTTATCTGGTTGGACACCAGTACCAAAGAACTTTTTAAAAATTATATTTATTCATTGGAATTTCTATTACTGGAAGCAATGAGATAGGATGCTTTTATCATGTTTTTACATCATTTCATTGCCTATCCCAGGTTCCTATTTCTGCTATGACACCCCTGGCTCACTGCAGGACCAGATTAAGGATGACATGGGAGTCAACACAGTCAAATTTGCCAGCCTCTACTCCCTGTATTCATGGCCCAATGTGGTCCTCTGCTTTATTGGGGGTTTCTTGATAGACAGGTAAGAGTGAGAGAGAGTGAGTGAGTGAGAGTGAGTAAATGTGTGAGAGTGAGAGTGAGTGTGTGAGTGATTGAATGGGTGAGAGAGAGTGTGAAAGAGTGAGTGAGTGATTCAGTCTGTATGTCTGTATGTGGCGGTTTGTCTGTCTGTCTCTGTCTGTTAGTGTTTGTGTGTGTGATTTTATGTGCATGAATGTGTACTGTGTGTGTATGTGGTTGCATGTAGTTCTGAAGCCTATGTCTTTGTATATGTATTTCAAAGAAAAGTTATCTGTTTTAAAATTGGGTAACATATTTATTGTATTTAATTTTAAGAATCTGATATCACAGATATTTTAATAGAAAGAAGACAGGAATACTTTTGGTTTGCAATCAGATTCCATCTTTTTATTTAATTGTTTTTTTTTTTTTTTAAGATATGACATTTATGGAGATAATATAAGTTAATGATGCAATTTATTTCATCTGCAGAGTGTTTGGTATCCGTTGGGGCACCATCATATTTTCATCATTAGTCACAGTGGGTCAGTTCATTTATGCAACAGGTGCAGTTACAAATCAGTTCTGGTTGATGCAAACTGGACGTTTTGTCTTTGGGTAAGTTGTGTAAGGTATTCTCTCTCTCTCTCTTCTCTTTCTTTTTTTTTTTTTTTAAGATATGACATTTATGGAGATAATATAAGTTAATGATGCAATTTATTTCATCTGCAGAGTGTTTGGTATCCGTTGGGGCACCATCATATTTTCATCATTAGTCACAGTGGGTCAGTTCATTTATGCAACAGGTGCAGTTACAAATCAGTTCTGGTTGATGCAAACTGGACGTTTTGTCTTTGGGTAAGTTGTGTAAGGTATTCTCTCTCTCTCTCTTTCTCTTTCTCTTTCTCTTTCTCTTTCTCTTTCTCTTTCTCTTTCTCTTTCTCTTTCTCTTTCTCTTTCTCTTTCTCTTTCTCTTTCTCTTCTCTTTCTCTTTCTCTTTCTCTTCTCTTTCTCTTTCTCTTTCTCTCTCTCTCTCTTTCTCTTTCTCTCTCTCTCTCTCTTTCTCTTTCTCTTCTCTTTCTCTTTCTCTTTCTCTTTCTCTTCTCTTTCTCTTTCTCTTCTCTTTCTCTCTCTCTCTCTCTCTCTTTCTCTTTCTCTTTCTCTTTCTCTTCTCTTTCTCTTTCTCTTTCTCTTTCTCTTCTCTTTCTCTTTCTCTTTCTCTTCTCTTCTCTCTCTCTCTCTCTCTCTCTCTCTCTCTCTCTCTCTCTCTCTCTCTCTCTCTCTCTCTCTCTCTCTCTCTCTCTCTCTCTCTCTCCTCCCTCTCCTCCCTCTCCTCTCCTTCTCCCTCCCTCTCCCTCTCCCTCTCCCTCTTCCTCTCTATCTGCCTCTCCCTCTTTCTCTTTCTCTCCCTCTCCCACTCCCTCTCCCTCTCTCCCCTCCTCTCTCCATTCCTCCTTCCTTCCCTTCCATCTTTTCTCTCTCCCTCCTTCCTGCCCACCCTCCCTTCTTCCCTCCCTCTCCCTTTATCTCTTCTTCTCTCCTGTTTTTTGGGAATGCAACACAAGTAAAGTATTGCTGCTGTTGCTATTGAGGTGCTATATAGTTGCATGCAAACCTTAAAGGATATCATTTTAGAAGAGAATCCCTGAAGATTATTTCATTCATCTATTTACTGAAATTGAATATTTTGATAGGATATTCTCACAACAGGAGTCTTTTCATAGTGCATATAACTCTAGCTTTTTCATTTCTTTGAACTCATTTTCTTTTGATTTGATGATTTATCAGTTTATAATTTCATAACCTATATAGAAGCTGCATGGCTTTTCATTGCTTTTGAGACTGGCTTACTCATTAAAGAATTCCCTTGTTTAGAATTTTCTTATATTATTTGGTTGGGTTATTCTTCACCAGTTTCATTTGATACATTTTGAATATGCTAGAGTACCATTGTCTATCTGTCCTGGTCTGAAAAGTCACAATTGTGTGTCTGTTATAGAGTCGGTGGTGAATCCCTTGCTGTTGCCCAGAACACCTACACTGTAAGCTGGTTCAAAGGCAAAGAACTAAACACTGTGTTTGGACTGCAGCTGAGCATGGCTCGTGTTGGCTCGACAGTTAACTTCCTTAGCATGGGCCCTATCTATGCCTGGGTTGATACCTTTGCCGATGGGTACAAGACGCTTGGAATTTCACTCTTAATTGGTTAGTAAGATATTAAAATCATTGTGATTGTCTAATTGGTTTAGACTTTTTTTTTATGAAAGAAGAAATTGATTTCTTTAACAAATGGAGGATTTTAAAAGAATATGGAATATGAATGATTAATCTTGTACCTCTTGTGCTTTGAGGAATTAAATGTCTTTTAGAAGTCTTTTTTTTTTTTTTTAACCTGAAAAGAACAATTTAGGGTTTGGTCAAGGTAAGTGGTGATAAAAGATTGTGAATGTTAATAGTTAGAAAAAACATTTATTTTATTTATTTATTTTCCTAATTGACATTGTATGTTATCTCTCTTAGGTTTAGATCTTTAAAATTTTCCAATTCACTGTATAATTCGAACTGAAGCCATCCATACAATGAAAAATAACCTCTTTACATATAGAACACAAAGATCATTACCAATATTATACTTTTCTTTCTCCACCCATATAGCTGGTGCAACTTGTATCTACTCCCTGATTTGTGCGGGAATCCTAGGGCTGCTTGACAAGAGACGCTCCAAGGTTCTGCGACTCAATTCTGCCGAGTCTGGAGAAAAGGTGCAGCTTAGGGATATTCTCACTTTCCCACTCTCCTTCTGGCTCCTGTGCGTGATCTGTGTCTCGTACTATGTAGCCATCTTCCCTTTCATTGGGTTGGCCAAGTAAGTATCTTTTTTGTTAGTTTGATGTTGTCGTAAATCATAGTTAGCCTTCTGTTAGGTGTTACATTTGTTCATTTATGTTATTATAATTATATTCTTTTTATAAGGGATATTATAATTATTGTGATTGTTATTTTATTTTGTTTTAAAAGTGTATCAATCCTTTTCATTAGCAAAGGAAAGATCCACAGGCACCCTGCGCTAAAGCAACCCCATCCTGCCCCACAGAGTCTTCTTCATGCGCAAGTTCAATTTCGACGAGACAAGTGCCAACGGAGTCAGCAGCATTGTCTATGTCATTTCGGCCTTCGCGTCTCCTATCCTGGGATATGTTGTGGACCGACTGGGGCGCAACATCCTTTGGGTCTTTATTGCGGTGCTGGTGTCCCTCGGCTGTCACGCCCTCCTCACTTTCACCTTCCTTAACCCCTTTATTGCCATGGTAAGAGGAAAGAGGGCCTAGAGTCTTATCTTATCATTTCAGTACTTTTTTTTCAAGAATTGTAATCTTTAAAGTTTTTTGCTTTCTTTTCCACAGAGTGTGTTAGGCTTATCCTACTCTCTCCTGGCTAGTGCACTTTGGCCGATGGTGTCTCTCATCATCCCAGAACATCAACTTGGGAGTGCATATGGCATGTAAGAACATACTGAACCATTTTGGTAGAGCTGCATATGAATGTTTTATAGATTTTTTTTTTTGTTGTTGTTCCTTTAGATAATGAAAAGGTATTGTGATTATTGTGTATTGTACTGTATTACTTTGTATTATTTTTATTTGTTTATTCATTGGTAACAAATGAAGCTAATATATATGGATTTTGCAGGATTTCTTTATATTATTTGTTCTTTATCTTCAGGATGCAGAGTATACAGAACCTTGGCCTTGCCTTAATCAGCATGTTAGCCGGACTGATTGTTGACATGAAAGGCTACCTTGTCCTTGAGATGTTCTACATGATATGGCTTTGTGGTAAGTGTTTGATGGCTTTTTCTTTGGCTTATTAGAGATAAAGTCATGTTTTCCTTTGCTGAGGTCATCTTTACATATTTAAAGGTCTGAACATAGTGGTTGCTATTTGCTATTTTTTCATTATAAGCACTTTGTAGAATCAATATGATAATTTTTAGAGGTCATTCTGGGTCAGGTTTGAGCAGTAAGGTTGTTGTAAGCCTTCAATGGTATCATTAAAGCTCCAGGGCCACTTAGTGCTGGATTATTGATATAAGTGAAAAGGATAAGTGCCTTTACATCATTTTTTTTTGTTCAGCTAAACTATTAAGCAGTGGTTCCCATGCTGTGGTATGCATACCTCTAGGGATATTTGAAGGGATATCAAAATGTACATCTTAATAGTAATGTTTATTTATTTTCTTATTTATTTGTATTTGATTATTATATTTATCTTATTTTGAATTATTTTATTGGTCTTATTAGGTTTGGAGGAATCATTAATATTAATAGTTTCAGTGCTACATTTTGCTCAGTAAATACTTTTTGTAGTTTAATCAGAAATACTTGAATAAAACCATATTGACTATTTTACTGTTTTTATACAACAGTTTTATTGCATGATGTCCATTATCTTCCATTTGAGAGTATGAGACCCTACTAAGCTGTTAGAAGTAGGTTGAGAGGTGATTGCAGTAAAGGATAATTGCACAGAATCTCACA